CAGGTAAAGGCAGGCAGTTTCTGCCTGCTTTTTCCTCTCCAATATTAACATGCCCTCAGTCACCTGTAACCGAGGAAGTACATCCCTGTTTGACTCAGTCCAAGACAGGAAGGGCATACACAACCCGAAGAGGCCGTCAGAAATGCCAAACTAGACATTTTTTAGGAGCAATCAAATATTGCCATTTGTTCTCAGTATAACAGACTCCAGGTTCAGACAGCTGGCTCCGTTATCGTACATTAAGACTCATAGTTAAGAAGTCCTCCTCTGGAGATGCATTTTACTACTATTATTAATAAATTCACTTGTTTATGTAACTCCCTTGCTATGAATGTTAGCGAAGTATATCAATACAAGTCTCTGCACCAAGCAAAACAAGGCAGATACGAGGATGGAGAGGGGGGGAAAGCAAACAGGGGAAAAAACTAGGTTATAAATATTTATAGGCTCACTTAAAATTATTTCTGGTTAAAGTCCCAACAAAAGCTATTTATTGTGCATGCACCTCAAATTGTAGTTTGGACAGAAATATTCCAGTAAACATACTAATTTTGTTTTATTTGAGCATTGTGTTTGGAATAAAATTACATAAGTAAAATGTTATACTTTTACAACCAAACATGAGAAATACTTAAATAAGCCTGAATGAAAATCAGAAACAATAGAAAACTTAGAAAACCTTGGAGCATGAGCCTTTCAGCAAGGAGACAAAAAGCATTCATCCAAGCATGTCAGATGACTTAGCACTTCGCAACAGCCTATTGATCTGCTGGACAGCTGGTTTAGTTTTCTGGCTGCAGAGCCAGAGGTTGGGAGTTTGATTCCCTCCTGTGCATACTTGGTAGGAAATGGACTTGATGATCCATGGGGTCTTTTTTCCAGCTCTGCAATTCTAAGATGATGATGATTGCATAATTTTTATAAGTCCTTCAAGAAAAGGGCAAATCAAATTCAGAATTGATCAAAATGGTCAGCAGTATTACTAACTTCAATGTTCTGTTAGAATAAAGGCCTTGTCTAAATCCTTTATCATGATCTGCACAATCCTACTCATCAGAAGAACAAGCACAAAATGTCTCATTTTCACTTTCATGTTCTGCCATGTTCAGGACACCATCTGACTGCCATTTGAGAATGGCTTTCTAACTGATATAGCCAAAAGGTGAACTCAATTAGTCCAGCAGAAGAAATGGCCAAATATATATTTTACTAGGCCAATGTTTCTTGGAACCAACATTCTGAGAAAAACTAACAAAGCCACTTCTTTGGACATTTCTTGGAACATGCAAATCAAAAGCTTCATGAAACATTTTCAAGTGCAAGTAATTTGAACAATTACAGTAAAACCAATGCGGGTGCAGCATAAAAAGTGTCCAAGTTTAACCAACAGCAACACATCAACCCCAACAGAGACTAGCATCCAGCCAACCTGCAGATTTTTGCCCAAATAAATGAAGAGAACCCTTGGGTAGAAGCTCCTTGCTATGAAACATACATTGTTAGCACCACGTCACTACATTCTTGCTCAAGAGTAACGATAACATGACAGCAAGGTGTCACAAGAGTTGCTCAGTACAAAATAATCAGTTTCAGACTACTATTTTATCAGGCCTTTGCCTCCCTGAATTGTATAAGGGATTTAGATGTGGCCATCCTTTGCTAATAATCTTCCCTTGTTTCTTCTTCCTCCTAATGTTGCACAATGCCTTCTGATTTCCTTGCACAAGGAGCCCTTCATCTGGAAATGCCCTTAAGAAATTGTTGGTGCTAGAAAGAATAAGGGACGTGGAGCAAAGAATTTTCTTCTACAACACGAACAACTACAAAACATGGATATACTGTATGTAGTGGTACATTTTGAATTCCATTGAAGTTGGAATAATGGAATATTAAATGAGAATCGAATCCAGATTGCTTCTCTACTTGATCTAATATATATGCTGTATATAGTAAATGTTTATATATATATATAAACTTACACATTGTTCATTTCATTTCATGTTTTAGCGGTAGCTGTTCAGTTCATTTTTAGCAGTAGCTGTTCATTTAAGCCACAGCTCTCAGCAAAATTCATTCATTATATTTTCAAAGGTCATTTATGGCCTCAAATGCATGCATTTATAAGCTCCTAACTTTTTGCTTTAGATTTTTTTAGATGGCATGAAAGATCAGCAGTAAGGACATTACACCCAGTCTGATATTTAAAAAGAAGAGAAAAAAAAACCCCATTCCTATAGCCCTGGTTCTGTAGCTTGAAGGGCTGACAGAGAACATGAGACCTTTTCAAACTCGGGTCAGAGTCAGTGACCCATTAAAGAATGATTATGCAAGCTCGCCATCCTTGAATGAAGGATAGGCAGCTTGCTTTGAAAAAGAAAGCAAACACACACACACACACAATTGCACCAACTCTGTTTTCTTATTATACAATTCAGACTGAGATTGCATGTCTCTTAGTTCCAGGACAGTCATAAAATGGCTTGCATAACAGATCCTCCTTCATTCAACCAAATGCAATAAGTTCAGAATGACACGGCGGTCTTTGCCATGAGACACAGTAAAATTGCTGTTTTAATGGATAGCACTGAACAGGACTGACAGCTCTGGCACTCAGAGCGCAATTCACTAGAACACCTTCCCAAGCAAATTCCACTGGAATAAATAGGATGTATCCAAGCACCATCATTCTCCTATGTAGGTCCCATTCTTCTCAATGGGCCTGTAACCTTCAAGCATGAAGTGAGGTGGTGTTTGGGTTTTTTAATTCAGGCACCTGAATGTCACAGATCAGCCATGGAGGCTAATTTCTGGATAAGTCTTTCACCTTCTAATCAGGCCACTGCATAGTAGTTTGTCTACCAAAGTATCAAACAAGACAATGATTTTAACACTTATTTTTTCATTCCAAAACTCAACGCAGGTGTAACTTTGTAAGCAACAAACCTCTTTCAGATACCAGACGCATCATATATATTAACACACATTTCTACACTCATGAATATTCCAAGGCTGTGTGTGTTCTTCTGAATATATTTGAGTTTTAAAGTGGGCAAAACAATCATGAGGTGAGAACAGAATATCCGTGTGCTAATCTCCTTTTGACTGGCCGCAGCAAGTGTAATTCATTGCTGACCCTTCTTGAACCAAGCTGCTTTTTAAGAAAATTACCTCCAACTATCAATACAAGTCTTATGCTACTGCTTAGAGCGATAGTAAGATTATTTTAACAAGTGTGATCCTGCCCTACTAAGAAGGTCTGGTGAGTGCTCCACCTGAATACCAGCAGCCTATCTCTGTTAGGTAGCTGGCTGCAGAGCCAGAAGGTGGGAGTTCGATTCCCCACTTGTGCCTTTAGGGAGAAAAGACAGTTTGTGCTGCCCTGGGCCAGCTGCACAGTCCCAGGGCTCCCCCAGAAGAAGGGAATGATAGACCACTTCTGAATACTCTCTAGTACCTGGAAAACCCTGCAAAGGGTCCCCGTAAGTCAGAATTGACTCGTGATTATTATTCATACTAGATCTCCCCAGGTGGCACATATGTCCTTTCTTCCACAAATTCTAAACTGTTAAAAACAAAATTTCAGAACAGGTAGCAATATAAGCACACAAGAAATTCTAGCTTCCACTATGAACCAGTTAAACTTGGAAGCACAGGGTGAAAGAGGCTGTGCCTCATGCAAAGGTAATCTATTGCATGGATTAAGGACATTCAGCAGAAAATTTAGTTTTAATAAGAAACCCACACACTTTAAACCCTTGCTATGCTATCTGACTTAAAGCATCAGCAGCTTCAGATGGATTGATTTCATTACTCTGTCCTCTCTGGTTAACAGTGGACCAGTCACTGTACAAATGATCATATCCAGCTGGTGCATGAGAGCTTAGTATCCTTTGATACTACCCAGCAGAGAGGCAACAGCCTTCTTCACTCAGATAGGCAGGAAAGTTGAACAAAAGAACAGAAAATATGTCAGATACACTCTTAACAATGGTGACTGATTAATGAAGGACTCATCAGCTTTGATGCAGAAACCAAAGTGGATTGTGAAGATTGCAGGTTTAAGTGTAGAGATGAAAGAGGAACTAGAGATTGGTTTAAGCTTTGCTTAACTGGGTCCTTTTTAAGGAGAAAGGTGGGACAGAAATATTTAAAATAAAATAAACACAACAAATATCTGCTGGTGTTTTATCTCATTCTTCCTCAAAGGTGGTGGATTTTGCTACAGACTCACACAGTTTCATTCAGAAATTGTGAGGCAGCCCATCTAGGAGAAGGAAAACTCTGATTTCAAACCTCCGCTGCCCTGTGGTTAGATCCACTCATGGAAACGGCTTCAGGAGTTAACCTAGAGCAAAATCCGGAGCTGGAGTCCTGAAGGCAGTTCGTGTTGTTCTGCCAACTCCTGCGATGTTGCTGGAACTAGTTGTATTGGCTCTTGTCTTTCTATTGGACCTTTCAGTGACTAATTGAGGACACTCAAGAAGCTTAATGACTGCGAGGTCTTGAACCTGAAGGATGCCTATGCTATGCTATGCTAGGCAAGGCAGAAAAGTGACCAATTGAGGACACTCAAGAAGCTTAATGACCGTGAGGTCTTGAATCCAAAGCTTCCTGACCTAAGTGCGACACTCGTCCCTTGATGATAGAGTTTATCAATGGAATATAGAAAGCCACTTCACCTTAAGTGCAAATATGTTATATTTGAGCCATAATTTAATAGCTAATATGCCTATTTCCAGACTTCATGAAAATGCTTCCTATACCATTTTAAGGTATGTATCTTGTTGTACACTTGTCTTAACTTACTGATTAACTTACTCTTAATGAAATCACAAAGCAAAACATGACTAAACAAATGGTCTTTGCACAGTGGTAGATTTAAAGAACTGACCTCGGCTCTTGTAAGCTAACTTACTGATTAACTTACTCTTAATGAAATCACAAAGCAAAACATGACTAAACAAATGGTCTTTGCACAGTGGTAGATTTAAAGAACTGACCTCGGCTCTTGTAAGCAGTCAACAGCAATTCGACATTCTTCTACAAGATAACAATTAGCCCCATTCTCCTGAAGATAATCACTAATCAAAAGAGCACAACAGAAAATGCCATTCTTCCCATAATCAAAGGATAGATTTCAAGGGCTTACAGCAGTAACTATAATGCAGTCACTTGTACCCCTTATCATTTGTATTTAGAACTCAGATGTCATATATCACAGGTATAATGGTTTTACTTTTGGTGGGGTTCTCAGAAAGTACCATGGCATTGTGTTTTGTACAAATGCGTATGTACATGTGCCGTGAAAGAAAAGTCTACGGTAATTTTCATAGATTGAGAACATGAAACTAAACTTGTGGATTTTCATTCAAGAAGTGGGCATAAGAGTTAAGGAGAGGCCTGAAACCAACGTTCCATCTAAGCTGTGTGGCTGCATGGCTGTGCAGCACTGTACTGATCCCGCATACCCCCGGTTAGTGTTGCCGTTCATTTAGTTCTGGTCATGGGTCAGGACTTAGCAAGCATGGGGTGGGGTTCTCACTCCGTGCTTGTGGAAAGTTAGAGGGAACATTGCCTAAGACCCAAGACTAGATTTTTTTCAGGGGTGTACTGCCATCTTAAAATGTTATGGGAATTTTTAACCAAGCCTGCCTTCATTGATCAATTCGTATGAACTATAAGATTTCATAAAGAAATGTCAGACTAACTTCTGAATATCTGCAGTACTGTTTCATGGATGCCATGGGATGCCAGAAAGTCAAATAAGTCGGCACTAGATCAAATCACACCTCAAGTCTTTCCAGACGCAAAAATGACTGAACTGAGGCTATCCCACTTAGGGCACATTAGGAGAAGACTGAGTTCCTTGGAAAAGATGGTAATCCTGGGGAAAGTGGCAGGCAATGGGAAAAAAGGAAGAACGTGAGGTGCCCTGGTTCAACAAAAGAAACCACAGCCTTGAGTTGGTTAATAACAGGACCTTCTGGAGGTCACAAATTCACAGGGTTGCCATCAAAACAAACTTTAGAGCATGTCACAACAGCAGCAGAACTTCTGATCTTCTCTCCCTTAGCAAAGAGTATAATTCTTTACAAGTTCTTGTACCTTTATAGTTTCACCACAAAAATCACTGGGTGGAGTGTTTCAAATACTTCATAAAAATCAAAGATAAGCTTTCCAGTCAAAACACATTCCACTTAATTGACATCTTGTCCCAAGGTTGAATGCTGCCATGGACTATGGCAAGGATTTAGCTTTCAATATTTTGCACCTCAGTGGACATTCCTGAGGGCCAATATCTTCTCCCCACTGATTCTAAGGAAAACAAAAAGCATTTTCAATGTTTCAAATATTTTTTCACCCTAGATTGTTTATTAAACACTACTAATCATTGCTGAAACGTTTTAGTAAGATTAGACTGGCTTTTATTTTTGTTTTTTTTTTAAAAAAAAAACAACCTCAACATCTTTCAACAGTTTCTGCAGTTTCCTGGAATTTCGGTTACATAAAATTATAATTACATGCCTTGTTTACATAAACTCCCCCAAGAAGTGAAGTTAAGTGGAAATTTTCAACTGATACATCTGTCATAATTTAAGGTTTGAAAAGCTGTTCCTAAGAGTCTCCTGCCTGCATGGCTGCTAAAGATGCAGGAGGTGTTCTACTGAAATGCCAACTATTCTTGAAACACAGATAGTCTACTGTATTTTAGCTATAACACAGCTGACCATGTTCATGAATTCTCTCATTGCCCCTGAGCTATTGCCCTCACACATGTATACAGAAAAAAGAATTTAGTGCAACAGAACCCTTCACCGTTCAAATATTCAATTGCTTGACCACTGCTACACTTCTCCAGTTGTCTCTAGCTCAATATATTTATTTATTTAGCCACTATTTACACCTCTTGCCATATCTAAAATGATATCCTACTCTGTGCGCTATGTATCAAAGCACTAAGAACAACAACCATCAATTACACTGGTCATACTCAACAACGCACAAAAGAGTTATGTTCACTCCATTAACAGTTTTCTTTTAAGAATCAACTAGGCTTCTATAAAATCAGGAGAGCAACTTAAGGAAAGGAATACTTGACCTGTAAGGCTATCCAACTACAGAGAAGACCACTTGGAAAAGGCTTAATTCAGATCCACAAGACTTACTTTGACAATTTACTAACACTGTGGACTGTCCTAGAAAAGTTATACAAAAGGACGTGACTAGATGAGAAAAGCAGGATTGGGAGAAGAATCTGTACATCTTGTATTTTTTATGATGCTCTGCTTACTAATGTCCCCATTTTCCAGCCATTAAGCATTAAATTCCACTCATGGGAAGATAAGAACACATTTCTGTTCCTTAAGGTTCAAACCAATGTTAAAGCTGTGCATCTATGCAGTTTTTAATTATAGATGAAGAAAACAAATCCCAATCCCTTTGGCCCTGCAATCCTGCTTCTGTTTAAACATTTTGTTCAAATGTTAACACAACTGTTTCAGGACAGGTTTTATTCCTCTCTCTGGAATATTTGTTTCAGATTACGCTTTCTGAACAACAGTACTACAGGATACAACTGGTTCTTTAACAACCGCTGCTATGTGTTGGCACGTTGCTTGTGACTTATGACACTCCTAACAGTGTTCTAAGGAGATGTTCATGGATGCCCATCCAGCCATCCATTCCACTGGGATTTGTGCCCACCTCTCCCTGTGGTACACAACTGCAAGCCTGGCTATGTATTTAAACTATCACTGTAAGTTGTTTCAAGGAGTTCTGAGCTTATTGGGCTTCCAGAAGTATATGGCAGTCATCTCTGAACATGGGGATCTAGCAACATCCAGGCTTTACTTCTGGAGTGCTGTAAGTAAACAAGCCACATGGTCAGATGTGGCGGTAGGCTTCTGTCCATTGGTTGCCTGATGGACTCTTGTTCTGTCCAATGCTAAAATTTGTTATTTGTGCCTCTGCTGCTTCTTAGACTCATTCATTCTTCTCCGAATACTCAAATGGAAATAAGCACACATGTGCGCGCGCGCGCACACACATACACACACACACACACACACACACACAGAGAGAGAGAGAGAGAGAGAGAGAGAGAGAGAGAGAGAGAGAGAGAGAGAGCTTCTGTTTTCTTAAACAGAGTTCCCAGCCCTGGGCCAGCTCCCGAATTTCCAATTCTAGTCAGGAATTAAAATCTCTGTACACCACAGAAGATCCACAGCAGTCTTGGAAGACAACACAATTGTTTCAGCAAAGAAACGCAATTACGGCAAATTTCTACATAGAGTACAATTATATTCTCTGCTTTCCTCAAGCACACCAAGCATTCTACGAAGATAAAAGAAGCAACTGGAAGAAATCACTTCTGCAAACAGCACAGAAATGAAAGGATACTTCTGGAATATGAGAACACCAGCTATCCTTACACCGACAGGCATGTGCAAATGCATTCACAGAACCCCAATTGCTCTCTTCCTAAATGAGGGCAAAGATTCACTAGAGAGTTTTTTGTTTGTTTGTTTTTTGTTTTTTACATCTGATCTACTCTGAGAATTTACCATATCCAACAATTGGGGAAAGTTTAATTTAACCCCTATTATCAATTACTCACTTCACATGTTTTCAGCTATGCCACTCATTAAAGATAAGACCTTAAGAGCCGATGAATGTTGTCTTAGGAGCTTATATTTGAAAAGCAGAAGAATATCTACATCCGTTTCAAAATTATACGATGAAAAGTGAGCAAGCATATTCTGCTATAAATGGATATAGTACTGTATCTTCAAGGACTAAGTACATTGACAAAGTGACACTAAGAGTTTACTGTGTCATTCAGCTTTTAGAGAGCAAAGGTAATTTACAAGCTGGGCAGAAGCTGTCATGATGCTGTTCTCTAAATGACAGCTAATTCCTTGTTTTCCACATAAAAATATTCAGGAAATGCAGAAATACATTATTCCTGCTCCAATTTTACGTCAGCTCCGAACAGATCATTAGAAAAGGATATGCCAGAGAGTATACTCCATAGTTGCAAGTGAATTAACCTAAATTCTTCACCTGATTTACAAGCTTTACAGTCAGTCACCCATTTTGTTTCAGGGAAAGATGGACACACAAATGAAAAAGAATCACATATTCCAAAATGGGAGGGGTCAAGAAGTGTTCAATTTTTAATCAGACACAAGGGTCTCACTGGTACTAACCCATTTTTGACAGCCAATTTGAAAGCAAAAACCCTGACATTATCGGCTAGATGTTCTTGCGTCATGAAGGGAATGGCTAGGATGATAGTAATATGGAAGCAAGAGAGCAAAATGAGACCATTTCCAAGACATAATCAAATAGGAACAGCAGCACGCAGAGTGGCCAACCGGGTGGTGGGTGGACTGGAAGGAACATTATGAAAAGGGTTCTATTTGTTTTAAGGCTCTAACAAACTGAAGTACAGCAGATTAATATAAAAATAAACAAAATATGCTTAAAATCCCCATAGATGTAAAAAAAAAAGAGTTACTAAAAGGAGAACCCTAGACCTATGGTAAGCTGTGGAGGAGGTCCGGAGGAAAAACGGCTTAAAATCCCCATAGATGTAAAAAAAAAGTTACTAAAAGAAGAACACTAAAGCTATGGTAAGCTGTGGAGGGGGTCCGGAGGAAAAACATAACATTGCTCATTTCAAGAAAATACTGCTGGGATGGCTATAATTTGGCACGCGGATTTAAAACAACAAACAAAAAAACCCTCAGCTGCCGTGATTAAGACCCAGAGAGAAGGACCTGCATGATGTCAGGGGAAGAAAAGGCAACTGAAGGAGAATATTGGTGCACCTGCAGAAATCCCTGGCCCAAGCAAGCCACACCGAAGAGGATTTCAATAGGGGTGTGACAGCTGTGCCTGTGGCGGGTGTATTAGGAGATGCAGTAGCTCAAGAAGAAATATATAAATAAACAGAACAAATCAACCCATGCAAATTATTCCACATTCTTGATGAGTTCAGGCCAAAAAATGAGCAAGCAGGGGGGAAAGTTGACTATCGGTCCAGAGATCTGAAAGAACTTGACTTCTGAAAGCAAAGGGAGAGGGGGGAAAATGGTGTTAATCCTTTTCAAAGGTGGGAGAGGATGAAAAGAAGTCGGTGGGAGGAACTAAAAGAGGAAGGGAGAAATCAGGCAATTTTAAGGAAGGGAAGGAGGTTTCTATATACAGTATATGTATGGGTTGAAGCAAGGCTTGTGGCTGAACGTTAGTCCGGGCTGGAAACCCCAAAACGATGCTTGGAAAGATGGAGAAGGTGTCCCCTTTGGGGAAAAGAGGTGGCCGGAGGTGGAAGGCAGGCGTCCCAGCCAGCCACACAGAAAAAGGGAATTTTTTTTGGAGGGGGGGGGAACAGATCAAGGAATGGGATGGAATGTGAGATGCAGGAGGGACAAGAAGGGGGGCAGCTGTGGGCCAGGAAGCGGGTGATGGGGGGGGTAATCCAGCCCCTGCAATTGGGCTGGGGCTGGATTAGTGGAGGATAGGTAGGTAGGTAGGTAGGTAGGTAGGTAGGTAGGTAGGTAGGTAGGTAGGTAGGTAGGTAGGTAGGTAGGTAGGTAGGTAGGTAGGTAGGTAGGTAGGTAGGTAGGTAGGTAGGTAGGTAGGTGCTGGGGCTAGATATGATGATGTTGATGATGAGAGAGGCTGGAGCTGGATTAGAAGATGATAATAATAAAAGACATAGGATCTTGAGTTGGATTAGATAGATAGCTAGATAGCTAGATAGCTAGATAGATAGGCTGCAATAGCTGATGATAATGACAA